AAATGAATTGCTAATGAATGCATAGTTTCATAATTTTGGCGTGACGAAAGCTTCAAATATTCAACGTATCAAGACATTTGAATCAATGAGAAATCTTTGACGGTCCAAAAACCTTATTTTTGTATGTTCGTTTGCTTTCACTTGGCATTTCGTCAAAAGTATGTCAAACCTTTCTGAATGTGTCTTTCATCTCTAATGATTTCAGAGTCATTTGATATTAAAATTCATTTCTCTCAAAGAATTGTTTAAAACAGAGATGGATAGAAGGAACAATTAATCACATTGTCACGTGGCACAGAGTTAGAAGATAGCCAGATGTTGGAGACCTTCAATTTCGAAGATTGAGTGTTTGAAGTCACGGAAAGGTGGCGCTGCTAGTTAATCTGCACGTAGATCATTAATTGAGCAAATCTTTTACAAATGTATACTTTGTTGCTCAAAAGTATCAATTAGCTTTTAAAATAAACTATTTATTGTAAAGATAATTATAATTTACTTTACACTCATATTTCATACTAACGTAACGCAACCGTACGTTGTTCAACTTTTCAATCCTACAACCCACATCCTGCTCGCTTCCCTTTCCATCCCTTATCTTTGCTTGCCTTACCTTTTGATTTTATTGAAAATAAATTTTTTCTTACCATTTTATACTTGTTTATTTCATAGTGAACCATGACTTCCACATTTTCATTTCTTGAAATTTTCCATTGAACTTAGAAAATAGCTATTGACAAAGAAGTTGTGAGGAGTACTTTTCGAGAGAAATTAACCACTTCCTCTTTATATAATAACCAACTTAATTTTATGGAGTTAGTTATACAGCTATACTTTTTACAATTAACTGTATAATTAACTCTGTAATTATTTTTTCTGTTTATACAGTCGTACTCCCAGTTCAGAAAGAAAGGTTTTATAAAGAGAGAAATTTCTCCATATTACCCAACTATAACTGGACTCAAATCTTTGATATGATTATTCCTAAAGACACTTTTTGTCGAAATTAATTTTTGTCTGTTAAATACGATGCACTTTGATCGATTTACTTTGAAGTACGAAAAAGTTGTCTACATAACCGAAACAAATTTAAAATATTTTTTTCTAAATCACGTTGTATGGTTACATTTGACTGCACAACATAACGTAATATAAACATTGATAAATAAATATATTCATGTAAATTTTTATCAATCTAAAAGCATTACATAAAAATACTTATAAAAATTGCTACATAAAAACTCAGTTTATATTTATTTTTATTTGGTCACGCTTTAATTAATGTGACTGTATAATTTAAGATATTAGGAAAATAATAAAAGCAATATTCATTTTTAAACAATATGCATAATAAACATTAAATTTCAACAAAATTTGCATTAATTGAAAAAAAAATTTTATTGTTTGATTAAAAACAATCTCTTAAACAGTCCAAGATGGAAAATAATGAAGGATTTTAATTAAACTTCGTATCTTTCACGAAGTATTTGAATAGTGTCATTGCTTTAATTTAATTTTTGCTTTATTAATGAAATTTAAAGGTAATATAATTGTAAATGGGAATTATTCAAGATGTAATTGTATTTCTTTATTGGAATATCATAAATAACTAGTATTAAAATTTACAGATTATCATTGTTTCTCTTATGAGTAAAATAACTGTACTAAATTGAGTTGAATAATAAAGGTATGTAATTTTTTTTACATAATTTTAAAGAATACAATTTTGCATAGGAAATTCCAAATTTGAGGCCTGATAGTTCCTAATTGGAATTTTCATATGTACGACTTTTTTAAAATTACAGTTACTTACAATTCAAAATTTTATCGGCTATTATTATACGTGATAATAAAAAATTATAAACATTTACTAAAAGTCTTTTTTTGCATGAAATCACCTCTGGACAAAACGAATTTTTAAATTGTGTGCAAAAATATTTCAATTCATTTAAGAAGTTTTCGAAAAACCACGAAAAGTAAAATTAGCATTAAAGGGTCCAAATTTTGGATCGATAGAAATCCTCTATTTCTCAGATTGCAGTTATTTTGAGAGTCGTTTATTCGCTTTGTAACTTAATTAATAGTAAACACTAATTAATTAGCATATTTGAAATCTGCCATATCAACCACTAAGATTGAGTCCAGGAACATAAAGACAAGATTATTAGATCAAGAGTTATTCAGGGTAGTCCGTTTATTTTTTTGCGCACTGTACATTAATTAGTAAATAATAAAACAACTATCACTCGTTCGTTACATTACGCGCAACGAACTATACTTTCGAGACGGACCTAAAAATAAAATGAAAAAATAAATTAAAAGGACAACATTACTATCGGAAAAAACTGTTAGTGTTGTTAATGAAGAAATTTAAAAAATAAACATAAATTATTTTAGAATAATTTGTGGAAAAAGAAATATTCGTGATTTTAGAGTGGATTCGTGAACTTTAAAAGGGATCACAATGGGTTGAAATCAGAAAAATGGAATCCCCTTGTTCAATAGTTTAGTTGAAAGGAATTTCTAAAATTCGAGATGTCATTTTTTATTTTTTTAAACTTACGAGGGCGTAGGAAAGGTTAAAAATTCCATTTTAAGCTAAAAAGGAATTTTCTTGGAATAAATATTTTTTTGAAAATTTATACATGTATTTTTAAATTGTTATAATGACAGCACTTATCAAGCCCTCAGTTCTTAATGTTTTTTTTTAATTCTCGAACTGAAAGCGAAAATATTTTTCACGGTTTGAAAACAAGTGTTAGCTTTTTAATAATTATTCATATTTAGCTAATATTATAGAAGGTACAAAATTATTGGAATGTAACAACACTTTTTTGTCTTAAATCATATATTAGCTCTTATTTTAATTTTTTTGCTTGCATTTGAATTAGAATTGCGTTTCTAAATTTAAATATACTTTTTCTTAGTAAAACAATTTTTAGGTAGATTTTAGTAATTGTTCTATGTTTTTTGCGACATTTAAAGCATTATATTCCTTTTTTTGTCCAACTGATTGATTTCTTGATTTTTATTTTATACACTCATAGGGTTTAATAAAATAATATGTAACATCTTTTTATTATTGGAATATCATAAAATTTCAAAAGACAACAGCCATCCATTTTTATTTTAGCTTATTTAGAATTACATTTTATCAGGCAACCATTTTTTAAATCATTTCCTTCACGCACAGTTTCTTTTTTGAAGCAGTTAGTATAAATAAAAGTTATTTATCCAATTTCAACTAGTTTTGTTTAAATTTTTCTGTAAACTGAAACAATTTTAAGAGATCAATTGCTGCGTTTTTTTTTCTTTCTTTACAGTTTCAGATTAACATATGTCTTGGATCTTTATCTTATAAAAACAATTTAACTTTTACAAAATCATTTCGAATTGAAGGAAACGCATTGGAGTGAAATAATCGAAATCCGCAGCTTAATATATATTTTATATATTCTGTACATTGTTAAAAATTTCTCAGTAAAAATGGGTACACTACACTTTTTTTTAAAATTGTTATTTAACCATATTCAACCAAAAAAGTCAAATAAGCATAAAAAAGATGATATTGAAGCTGTCAAGAGTTAGGAAAATATGGTTTAACAACAAGAAAAACAGGTTTCTATCTAATACGGTTTAACAACCAGAATTCTATCCACACCAAGAAGTACTATCTTATGAAACCATTTTGTTCCATGAAGCCGAGTACATACTGTAGCTGAGAGGACTAATCGGTCAATCTTATGATCGGATGAACAAGGGTGCAAATTCCAGCGTTGACATCACAATATTTAGTCCCCTTCTTTAATACATACAGATTTTCCAGTGCCTTCAGTCGATGACCCTGGACTATTAGAATACGAAATTATAATTCCCTCATAAATGGCGTAGCACTTACAGGTCACTAAAGCTTTTTTTAAATTTTATTTTTATGGCTTTAAAACTATGCTAGTTGTAAATGCTTGAAAACCGTAAAGGTAAAAAAATGTTCCAGGCCATAAACCTTATGCTTAATTAATTGGGCAGACTACTTCAAGTTATTTTACCGTAATTTCAGAATGAAGATTATAACAGTGTATTTAAAGATGAGTCTCTCGAATCCTAAGTATTTCTTTTTTGTTGACGGCTCATTAAATCAAAAGTTACAAGTGTATTGACAGGAGAAGACAAACCTATAAATTCTTTAACGACCCTACAATAAATCGCCTGCAGGCTAATTTTTACTTAAACCAGCTCCTTACTGGCAACAGAGTGTTCGGGACCTATCAACAAAAATATTTTAGGAAGTCAGTTTCATGGTGAAACAGGACATTAAACATCTTATTAAGCACTGCCCAAGATTCAGGACACTTCGTGGAACCCACATGAATAATTACGAAGAGGAACACCAATTCTTTGCTATATTGACCTGCAGGAAAAATTGTGATTCAAATTATAAAACAAACCCCCGAGGACATTTTAGCACCAGATCAACTGACCCCAGTCATGAACCAACAATAGAACATGTCATCGTTATTTTGTACTGATCAACTTTTAGCCTTGCGCTTTGAAATTTTATCTACTTGTGATTTTAGACTTCTATTCAGACTTTTACTTTTAAACATTTACACTTAGAACTTTTAACTCTCATTGATTTTAGTTTTGAGATTCTAGTTTCATCTCTTGTTTTCTTATTGTTATAATTATTTAATTCTCGACATTTATACCGGCGCTTTTAGCCTTCATTGCTTTTAAAACATGTTGTTAATTGTCAAACTTTTAAGTTAATTCACTTTTGACCGATCATCACCACTTTCATTTGGCAAGATTTTACTGTATTTTTAGTTTTTAGCTTAAATTTTTTACGTAATAATTTAACTTCGTATCTCCGTTTACCCCCCTGGGGTGGATTGGAGTTCTACCTATCCTAATCAAAAGTTACTGCAATGATTTTTCAATTTTCCTCGCTGATGAACGAATTAAAAGTTGTTGATTTAGTGTAACTATTTTTTATTCTAGGATCTTCGTATAGAAACTTAAAGTTAGAACCTGCGGGTCACTTTCATGCCTTTTTCACTGGGGATAACTTTTTCATTACGTGTGCTGCACCTTCAAATAGCTTCGCCACTAGACTCACTTGGCAGGCGCCTAATGGAAGGGACATCACTACCAGTGCTGGAAGGTAAATAAAAGCATTTGCATTTTAAATTTTACGCATTGATACTATTCCATCAAATCACACAAGCACGAAAGTAAAGGTACTTTAAAATCTGAAATTTCCCAATCAATTCATGGTCCTTATAGTTTTCAAAAAGTGATTTTCTTCTTTATTGATAATTGAAGGATTGAAGAATTTAAATGACATTTTAGTGAACTTGAGTTAATTAACTAAAATTTTTTGCCTTTATGAAGGAAATAAAGGTTTTGCCTTTCGTTATTTCTTGTCCTCAAGCTCACAGGGGGCGAAATCTATAAATCTCTAACATTCATTTGAACTGTTTGCGTCAGAGCGTTCGCACTCTTGGTCTTTTTGGCTGTAAAAAAATGGCGGCTTCACCGAGTTGCTCATGTACAATTGGTTGTCAAATGTATTTGGGGGTTTTTTTCCGCTTAAAAATTCAAAGACTGTTACTTAGTATCTTCATGATCTAAGAGTTGACAAAATAAACTATTGTTATCTCTATTTCTTTTTAGAAGCCAAGATAAACGTTATTTCAGTTAACTTGGAAATCATCTAACTCAAAATGACTCAAAAGTTATGGGAAATTTTTTTTGTCTAATATTAGTTATTGAAATATAAGGGTAAATTTCTTTACTTTTAAAAAAATTCATTTTAATAATAAGTATAAATCAAAGATTCTTACTAATCGTCATGATATTGTTTTCAGAGTTCATGTGGAAGCCACAACTGAAGTTCCCCATCGTCTTGAATTGGTTTTCGAAGACGTTAAATATGAAGATAGAGGGAAATATACATGCTCAGCCATTATAGATGGTAGAGAAGCGAAGACATATTTCGTGCTTACGGTTTACCGTACGTACGTGTTTTTTTAAAGTGTTTTCTTTATTATTATTAATTCAGGAAATGATCTGTTCTTAATGATAATGTCGTACTAATCTTTCAGGGAAAGGTGTTTCACGAATTTTACTGAAATTTAGTCGCGTTCCATTTTCTTTTTCACTTTTAATTCTTGGGGGGTTAAGCGAGAATTAAACGTCGACAGATCTGAATTATTGAATTTCGAGATTGCGTTTTTTTTTAACATCATGCGTACGTATTTATTTTTGGAAATTTTTATGTCTTCAAGTCTATACTTCTCTAAATGTTCTAATGATTACTGTTAAGTATTGTTCCTGACTCTAAAAAGAATTATACATCCAGGTTTTAAAAGGAGCTTTAAGGGATAGCAACAAAATCGCATCACACATTTCAGAAATATTTTTCATAGCTCAATCTAGCTCAAAAACTGTCACTTTTTCGGAATCAGTCCTGAGATTCATTAAATGCTGAAAACCGGTATATAATACAAAAATGTCGAGCAAAATGCATAGATTTAAAAATGACACCATCATGTACTCATTTAATGTAATTTGTTATTTAAACGACTGTGGACATACCTTCAAAAATGAGTTAGTGCTGTTTTGTCACTTTACACAAAAATGAATATATGAGGTATTCAAATTCGACCTTATTTGTTTTGACTATATTTTATCACATTCTTGCTTAATTTTGAGAAACCTTAATTTTTTACAGAGTAGAATATTTTTGAAACCGATATCAAAATTTTTTCCTGAGGTGAACTTTATTTATATCCATTTATTTATACATTTTCACTGATTTCTAATTTTGATAACTTCTGATCGTTAGGTTTAATTCTATAGAAATCTGAAATGAAAACTGTTACAGCCACATATAAGAGGAACCAATCTTGGTTGGGCCTTTTATTTTTTATCTCCCTAAATAACCATATAGTTTAAATTTTAATAAAATAAATTACTTACTGCCCCCATTCATAATTTGTTGAAAATCTCTAGTCAGTATTTTTTTAAAATAATTATTAAGAAGAAAAAAAATAGAAGAGTTTTCTCTACCACTTGAGTCATGTTGTTACAAAATTATATTCGGAAACAATATTGAAGGTTAGATTTTTTAACTGATTTAAGATTGAGTTAGATTTTTTAACATTAGAAATTGAAATATATAAAGATGAACGGAATATGTATCGCTTCAAACGTAAAAATTCTTCTACGTTTATTAAATTCTATTAAGAAATTTTCGAAGCTTATACTGATGGACTTTGCTTAATGAAACAAGACGTAAGTGTTTAAAATAATTTATAGTGAATTATGAAAGTTATGAAAGCGCAAGTTAAATAATATAGCTGTTCAGTGACTATAACTTGATATTTTCTGAATGGAATTCATAAAAAATAAGAATTATATTATCTTCATGCATTATTATTAGACATTCATTGGATAAAAATATTTTTGTCACCATTGAACAGGTTATTGTTTTATTCTTAACTGAACAATTATTTTAAGGTCAAGTAGTGGAGTTAAAAAAATTACTTTTCAGGACTGACTGTATATTAATGGACCACTTTAATTGAGACACGTGATTCTTTTATGGAATTTGTAGAACTAGTAATGCAAAATGTTAATAGATGGAACTATTAAAAATATTTAATAACATTAAAATAATTGAACACGGTCCAAAGTGCCCTTAGGTACAACCTACCCCTTATAGTGACTGCACAATTCTGCCACTAAGTGGCACAAATGTTTACAATGGTTCAGAGCTCAAAATAAATAAGCGAACATTCGAATTCATTTTTAATCTCGGCTGTTCTTTAGGATCCAATCCCAGTGGTTCAAAGTCTTAAACAACATTAATAGGTGCAGACGATATTTTAAATTACGAAATCAGGCAAAAAATACAAGAAAGAAAGAAAAGAAAAAAGAGAAAAAAACGAATTTCTCTGAATAAACACCCTTTTTTTCGACGGATTTGGATTTTTGACATTTGATCCGATGCCAATCAAAGGTGAAATCAGTCGAAGAGCTCCTTAGAAATAAAATTATGAATGCACATAACTTTTTTAAAAATTCGATTTTTTTAAGAACCGATTTCATTCAAATTTCGTATATTTCCTGATAAAGTTTCTGACTCATACAGTATGGTCTAGATATTGTGAAAATATAATCTGGGGGTCAAAAGTTAAAGTTAACTTCTTTTTTTCCATATTTTTTAATATCGCGGACAGTTTTTAAGCGAATCATTTTTAAGTAACTTTCGCACACAAAATCCGTTCAACCAATTCGCACATGCAAAATTGGCTGAACGGAGTAAGAAATTTCAATGAAGTCATATCTTTAAATTCTCATTTCGCAAGAACTATTTGACCCATTCTCTTCACATTTTGAAATTCGACATTTAAAACTATGTAAATTAAATTGGTTTAAAAATTTGTAAACCTAACTCTTCCAATATTTTTCGAAAATATTTCAAAGCGTGTGTAAATATCTCTTAAGTTCTATAACTGTGTGCAAAAAGTGTTTTGTTTCTCTTCATTAGTTCCGAAGATATGGCAAAATTCACGAAAAGGGATAAAAAGGCAAAAACTTTCGACCATTGTCCGGCCTAAACAAATGGGAGCCTATTTTCCCGACTGCCCACATGTTGAGGGTCTGAATCTATCGGGGGAAGGAGAAAAAAAAAACCTTTATTCAGGAAAAGTATGTTTTTATTGTGTCTGATTTCGTAATTTCAAATATCGTCTGTCACAATTGAGTAGAAAATTTAAGATTAGGCCCCAAAAAAATTTAGATTGATTCTTAGTATTAGAGATTGTAAGATTGAGTACACATTTTTATAAGCTATTCAGAGTGTTGGTTTTTTTATTTTTGCGCACTCTACATTTTGTCTAAGATACAAAACTCTTTCTTGTTTACATTTGAGACACTCTTATGATATAATATTACTAACTTGTCACTGATAGTTCCGAATTGATAGTACTCGGATATGGTTTGAATCCTATAGTGTTGAAATGTAATTTTGAAGAAAATCTTTTTAAAAAAAACACCTTTATTTAAAAAATAATAATTTTAAACTTAGATTAAGCTTACCTGGACAAGTAATTGAAACGAATTAAAAAAAACTTATTTCATTTCAAAAAAAGTGCTCCCTCATTTTTCAATGTCAATTTAATTCCGCATGTTTTATGGTGAACAACAATTAAGATGAAAAATGCTTCCAGAAACTTTTTTTCTCAACTCTTTTTCGTTCCCGAAATTAATCTTAAACAAAAATAAAAGAAACTCATTTTGCATCATTTAGTCATGATTTCTTTTTCTTTTTTAAATGTATTTTTAGGAGTACCGTTATTATAGGAGGCAGAAAACACATTTTTATAAGAGATTTTAAGCGCTCGTGTTTATTAAGACAAATGTATCTCTTTTCTTTATACATATAAACAACTTTCTTCAAGCGTTATATTTTGTTTAAAATTCAAATATAAAAAAAATATTATGACATCATTACAGTTTTATTCTTTTTCAATAATATATCACATCTTTTTAAATTAATGCATGCTGTGCTTATGTTGCATTTTTTTTTGTTGCATCTGGTTACCCTTTTTTAAACAAAGCGCAAAAAAACAGAATAAAAAACTCCAAAATCTAATTCTATTTCAGAACGTTTTATTTGTAAAATTAAAAATGCAATTTGAATTATCAATGGTAGTTTTGTGTTTATTTTAATGTTATTATGTGTTTGTTATTAAAAAGCGTTTTTTCTCTTAATGATATTACACTGAAATTCAGCAAGTGTCACATGAGATTTTAATTTTTCTTAATACTTTGAATGGATAACATGTAGGATAAAATCATCGCTATTGCTCTTCCGGTGGAAGGCGCCTCTGTTAGAGTTAAAAAACAAAAGAGTTAACGGGGTTATGGGGCACAATTCATGGGAAATAAAAAAGCAGTGGTTTTCAATTGTAGGAAAAAATTAAGGTAAAATTATGGTGTTGACATTTCTGATAAAAAATATTTCCTGCAATAAAATTTAATATTTAAAATATTCATTTGCAATTTTTTTCCGTTCATATAGTAACGGTTTACTAGAAATTCTTTTCTTTTTCAAAATTATAGTACTTATTATCACACATTTCATAAAAAAATATATGACTGAAAAGTCTATTTAAGAGAAAAATCGTTAATACTAAATAATGTCACTCTTTGAAGGTGTAGTGATAAAATTACCAAATTTTATCACTTATAACAAAACCATATTTCTTGTTAGTTTCTCCAAAATCATTACCAAAGAGCTTCTGTAAATGTGTGGAACTTTTTGGTGTTAACATTAAGTGTAACATTATAAATTTTACCGTATTCTAATAGTTTTGACCATACTTTTTTTCTTGTTGCACCTTTTAGCGCAAAACTGTGTTAAACCGTCAGAAACACCTTTGTGAATTTTACGAAGCTGTTTTTTTTTCTACAGCCAATAGAAAAAGATGGAAAATTAATTATAAATTATTGCACAAAATTTAAATTTTCTAAATTGAAAGCTTATAAATTAAACTATTATTATATGAGCAATCATGTCTCTAAAATATATTTGATGAACACAAACAAACAATTAAATTCAAAATAGATGTTAACTTTTTCGATTTAAAAAATTCGAAACTAAACTCTAAGTGCACGTTAACAATGCTTAATAACTGGTAACGAACCATTACTAAAAAAATATATTTAGTAATCATTATTAATCGGGAATCTCATCTTTGAAATGGATGTAATTTAAAAAAAAAAAAAGGAAGATCTGATAAGTTTTGATATCTCAAAACTCAATTTTCTACTTAAAATATTAAATTACAGATATTATTTCCCTTTATGCAAATATTTATGCAATTATATCGATGTAATTATATGTATGTAATTATATCTATGAATGTATTTAACTTATTACTGTAATCTCAAAGTGCAAGAAAATATGAGATTTCAACTAATGTCATATTTTTAGTTTTGTACTAGT